GATTGACCCAAAGTCACCCATCCAACTTTCATGTCTAAGGCGGGACTAGAACTCACCGTCTCCTGGTGATTGGCCCAAAGTCACCCAGCCAGCTTTCATGCCCAAGAACCCTCAAACTCACCATCTCTGGTTTCTAGGCCACCCCCATTCACCAGAACAATCAAGCCAGCTGCCTATAATGCTGTGAGACGGCGAGTTCGAGTCCCACCTTAGGCATGAAACAGCTGGGCGACTTGGCTGGGGCAATCACTAGGAGAGGGTGAGTTCTAGTCCCTTCTTGGGTACGAAAAGCCGACTGGGTGACTTTGGGCCAATCACCAGGAGACGGAGAGTTCTAGTCCCGCCTTAGGCATGATAGCCAGCTGGATGACTTTGGGCCAATCACCAGGAGAAGGTGAGTTCTAGTCCCGCCTTAGGCACAAAAGAGAGTTATCTTCGTCCCCTTGAGTTATTTATACAAATGATAAAGGTGGGATGGTCAATAAATAAAATAAAATCCCTTTATGAGAATCCCAGCCTCCCTGCTTTGCCCAGAATGAGGAGGAGGAGGAGGAGGAGGAGGAGACGAAGACGCTCACCCTGGTCACTTAAGCGGCGTTGCTTGGGGTTGGCCGAGACGCTGCGCTGCACCTTGTTTGAAGGGGAGGGAACCGTGCTGTTGGCGAGCTCGGGCTGGGGACGAGGTTTCAGGGTAATGCTATCGTTGTCGAGCTGGAAAAAGCAGGAAAAAGCAATCAGGAAAGGCCCCGGGCCCCCACGGAGGCCTTTGCTCCTGGCCCGTCAGGATGCCGACTCCAGAAAAGCAAAAAGGTGTGTTTTTTTCTCTTTCCTACAACCGTTCTTAGTAATGTTTTATCCTCCAGCCCCCTAATCGTCTTCGTTGCTCTTCTCTGCACTCTTTCCAGAGTCTCAAGGTCAAAAGCTGACGTTAAGAGGAGAAAAGCCACACTTGCTTCGGGGCTGCAAACCGCCCCTGCGGGGCTGCCGTTCCAGAGTTCAACGCACCCGGCTACACACACACACACACCCCTCGCACTCACCTCTGAGTTTTTGTAACCTAGCAGCAGGTACGTCGCCATCACTTCATTATACTTCTGGCTGACTAAGGACTCTTGGATTTCTTCCCGGGTGTAGCCCATCGAAATCATGAGTTCTGGAGGAGGAAGGAGAAGGAGGAGAGGAAGAGGAGGAAGAGAGTCACCATCCACTCGTAGGAAAAGACAAGCCCCCCCCAGCTGCTCAGAAAGTGGAACGTCCCACCTCGCCATCAAAGGGGGAGCCCAGGGGTCTTCAAATGTGGCAACTTGAAGACTTGTGGACTTCAACTCCCAGAATTCCTCAGCCAGGCGTCCCACCTTGCCATCAAATGGGGGTGGTCTCTAGCCCAGGGGTCTTCAAATGTGGCAACTTGAAGACTTGTGGACTTCAATTCCCAGAATTCCTCAGCCAGCCAGGGCTGGCTGAGGAATTCTGGGAGTTGAAGTCCACAAGTTGCCAAGTTTGAACGCTGGCTGAGGAATTCTGGGAGTTGAAGTCCACAAGGCCTAAAGTTGCCAAGTTCGAACGCTGGCTGAGGAATTCTGGGAGTTGAAGTCCACAAGTCCTAAAGTTGCCAAGTTTGAACGCTGGCTGAGGAATTCTGGGAGTTGAAGTCCACAAGTCTTCAAGTTTGAGGATCCCTGCTCTAGCCCATCAGCCCTTCCTAACTGGTGTACCTGTCCGCCGAGGGTCCTTGTAGTCTGGCAGAGGTTCCACGTAAGGCTTCAACTCGTCGTCCTCGTGACCCACATTCATCCAGCGGTCTTTCATGATTTGCTAGAGGGGGAAGGAGAGGCAGGCATTAGGACCCCACAGAGAGGACAGGTTTTCCTTGCAGGCGTTTCATTACCCAACTAGGTAACGTCATCCGTGCTGGAAGGGAGAGGAGCTGCTCTCTGTTGAAATACAAGTAAGTTGCTTGTAGATGAACCACCCAGCTCAAGAAAAGAAAAGAACGGGACAGAAGAACCGAGTTGGAAGGGATCTTGAAGGTCTTGTACTCCTCAAGGGGAGACCTGATACTACTCCAGACATGGCTGTCCAGTTTCTCTGAAGTAAGCAAGCTCAGAGGGTACCAAAGATGCTACAGTACTTCTTCTTCACTCCTCCTCCTCCTCCTCCTCCTCCCCCCCCCTTGGCAAGCTCCACTCCAGGGTTCTTGACCACAAAATCAACTCTACTAACAATAGGAAAGAGACGGCAATTTCCCCAAGGACATTGTCTCCCGTCTCAGCAGCCTCCCTCCCATTTCCCAGGAAAACTCGGGGCGTCTTTGGCAATGTTTTCCTCCTCAATCCACCCATGGAAAAGCTGGCTGGCTGGCTGCTTCTTTTTCCTTTCCACTTTCAAATCCACCTGAAAGCTGTTCGCCCTGGAGAAGCAGAACAATTGCTCCGCGGTCAGCAAGCCGCCGGTGTAAAACTGGCTCCCTGTTGGGAAAGCTTAACAAGGCGGCCGAAGGGGCTTGGAAAATTACCTTCGTCACGCAGAGAGGTAATTTGGGGCCTTTAAGCCAGACAAAGAGGGCGGTGGACGACGGAGAAAAGGACTGGGGCCTTCGCTGAACCAGCAAAGGGGTTTAAAAATCAATAATAAGTCCCACACTAACAATAAGAAATGTTTTTTGGCCAGGCCAAAAACGCTCCGAAAATGGAGACGCGTCCTAAAAATCACCATGGTTGCTTAACACATTAGGCTAAGCCAGAATAAACCAGGCTAAAACCATTTTGGTCGCCAGGATGTAAAAAAAGATGTTGAGACTCTAGAAACTGCAACACCACCACCTTGAGAACAGCAGGCAGGTGAGGAAACGGTCAGTCTTGGGCCACGCCACAATCTGGACAATTTGTTGACGAATTTTGGCCGTGCCGTTCCACGTGGCCTGAGATTGGTATTTAGCCTGGGAGCTGCACACTTTTGGGATTAAAAAAAATAAAAAATACCAGAAGGGGGTTCACACACAGGGTTTGACTGCATTAACTCACCTGTCTGTGTTCACACAATACACGGAGCCACGGTTCACCAAACTGGCTGGGAAGTATCCTGTGTGAGAACTTCAGGGTCTTTCTAATCGGTTCCAATTGTGGTGGTGGGTGACTGGACCAGTAGACACAACACACTTGTGGTGGACGACCAGTACAAACATGTTCTGTCGGTCCGATCAGTCACCGAGGGGGGGGGTTCATGTCCGTCAGGAGCTGAATGTCGTCGAGCAAATCGTTGGCAAGTTTCAAACGACGGCACTGAAAAAAGGGACCTAGGACCGTTTTTGACACACCTTGCAGAGCATCCCCATGGCCACGTGATCAAAATCCAGACAGTTGGCAACTGACTCATTTCATGACCCAGCTAGGTAACATCATCAGTGCTAGAAGGGAGTGGGATGTGCAGAGAGGAGGAGGAGGAGGAGGAGGAGTGTGAGGTCCTTGGTGCTCTCTGAGCTGGGTGGTTTTCTTGCAGACGTTTCATGAGCCAAATAGGTAACATCATCAATGCTAGAAAGGAGGGGGGGGTTTTGATCTCTTTATATACAAGTAGCTGGCTTGCAGAGAGCATATCCTTCTCCCTTCTAGAGTTGATGACGTTGCCTAGTTGGGTCATGAAACATCTGCAAGAAAACCATCAAGCTCAGAGAGCACAAAGGACCCCACAGTCCTCCTCCTCTCTTCTACCTCCACTCCGCTCTAGCACTGATAATGCTATCTAGTTGGTTCATGAAACGTCTGCAAGAAAACCACCCAGCTCAGAGAGCACCAAGGACCCCACAGTCCTCCTCCTCCTCCTCCTCTCCCTCTCTCCTTCCTCCACTCTGTTCTAGCACTGATGATGTTAGCTAGTTGGGTCATGAAACGTCTGCAAGAAAACCACCCAGCTCAGAGAGCACCAAGGACCCCACAGTCGTCGTCGTCGTTGTCCTCCTCCTCCTCCTCCCTTCTAGCACTGATGATGTTACCTAGTTGGGTCATGAAACATCTGCAAGAAAACCACCCAGCTCAGAGAGCACCAAGGACCCCACAGTCCTCCTCCTCCTCCTCCTCTCTCCTTCCTCCACTCCGTTCTAGCACTGATGATGTTAGCTAGTTGGGTCATGAAACGTCTGCAAGAAAATCACCAAGCTCAGAGAGCACCAAAGACCCCACATTTCAACCGGGAGCTACAAATAGTCTCCTTCGTTGATCTCCAAGGATCCTCTGTTGGGGATGCTTCCCAAGAAACTCCAAAGTGGGTGCCAGATTTTATTTCCGTTTCCTCGAGGCCAATTTCCATTTGGTCTATGTCAACGCTGCTAACATCAGATGTTCTTGCATTGACAACAGATGGAAATGTAGCCATCTTTTACCTTTGGCTTTTACAGTTAGATGATGCTGGGAGGAGGGATGTGAACGAGAGTCCAGCTAGACATAACAACACTAAACTTAGTGTGAGAATCAAGGTTATTGTAACCAGAGCTGATCAGGAATTGCCGGGCTGGAGAACTGGAGAGGAAGCCCGTGGTTCAAGCTAATTCGGGAAGGTGATTTATGACTGTTCATTGGAAGAGGGAATTGTGCTTTCATACTATGTGCTCAGGGGAGGGAAATTTCAGTTTTCGGCTTCGATTATGCAGTGCCGATGCTATGCTAACTCAAAATAAAGATTCTTTAAGGTACACAATGTCTCGGGAGTTCTTGGAAGAGTTTCATCTGTCGGAACCATGACGCTCACCTCTAAAGTGCCTCTTTTGCTAGGGTTCAGGATAAGGAATTTTTTCAGCAGATTCTCGCAGTCCGTGGACATGTAGAAGGGGATGCGATACTTCCCCCTCAAAACCCGTTCTCGCAGCTCCTGCAAAAAGGAGAAGACGTGACGGGGCGGGGAAGACAAAACATTAATTTTAAGCAGAAAGGGACTCCCTGCAGGCGCACACCCTCTCCTCCAAGAGAGCTAGAAGTTTTCTCTTAAAATGTTTTAAAAGGTTTTAATTTGCAATCTATTTTCTGAATTGTCTGAGAGGGGTGGCTGTCGAGAAATCAAATCAAAATCAAATAAAAAAAAAAATACGGTTTGCACCGGAGGAGAGAGGCGTGGATCGTTCCAGGTGCCGTTCAATCAAAACCTGGGCACCGACGAGCGGTTGGCGGGGTCAGCTGGTCTCCCTCTTTACCTTGAGGTTCTGCCCATCAAAGGGCAGGGAGCCGCTGACCAGTGTGTAGAGGATGACCCCGAGGCTCCAGACGTCCACTTCGGGCCCGTCGTACTTCTTGCCCTGGAACAATTCGGGAGCGGCGTACGGGGGGCTCCCGCAGAACGTGTCAAGCTTGTTGCCGAACGTGAACTCGTTGCTGAAACCAAAGTCTGCAATCTTGATGTTCATGTCGGCATCTAAGAGCAGGTTTTCTGCCTGGGGGGGGGGGAAGAGAGAAACGGGAGAAGGGGGGGGAGAGATATTCAGAAGGGGCCGATCCACAAGGAGGACTCTTGTTGAGTTTGGGCTGGAAGCCATTGCAGATTAAATCAAAGGCAGGGAAATTGAGGTTAAATCAAAGAGGCGAGGGCTTTGATTTGGGGGGGGATCAGGAATCACAGCACCTTTTGGGGAGGGGTCCAGCTGGTAGGGGGGGATGAAGCGAAGAGGGCGAGACTGGCCCGCACAAGGATAGGCGATCTGCAATTTCCCCCAGGTTTCACAAGCATTCAGTGGGTATCTCCAGAAGTTGTGGATGCTCCATCACTGGAGGTTTTTAAGAAGAGACTGGACAGCCATATGGAATGGAATAAATAGAATAGAATAGAAATTGGAGTAGAATAGAACAGAACAGAACAGAACAGAATAAGGAAATATGGAATGGAATAAATAAAATAGAAGCGAAGCTGGGAGGGACCCTGGGGGTCTTCTAGTCCAGCCCCCTGCTCAAGCAGGAGAACCTATACCATCTCAGACAAGTGACTGTCCAGTCTCTTCTTAAAAACCTCCAGTGATGGAGTGCCCACGATTTCTGGAGGCAAGCTGTTCCACTGGTTGATTGTCCTCACTGTTAGGAACTTTCTCCTTAATTCCAGGTTGCTTCTCTCTTTTGATCAGTTTCCAACCATTGTTTCTCGTCCTGCCCTCTGGTGCTCTGGTGAACAACCCGGCCCCCTCTGCCTTGTGGCACCCCCATTGATAGGTTGCTTCTCTCCTTGATTAATTTTCATCCGTTGCTTCTTGTCCTGCCTTCAGGTGCTTTGGAGACTAGATTGACACCCCCCCTCTTCTCTGTGGCAGCCCCTCAAGTATTGGAAGACAGCTACTGTATCACGTAACCCCTTCATCCTTCCCTTCGTTAGACAAGACACAGCCAGTTCCCACAATCCTTCATCATTATGCTTTAGCCTCCATCATCTTTGTTGCTCTTCTCTGCCCTCTTTCTAGAGTCTCTTTCTAGAGTCTCAGTGTGCCTGGCTGAGGAATTCTGGGAGTTGAAGTCCACAAGTCATCAAAGGGCCAAGTTTGAAGACCCTTGGTCTAGAAAGTCTAGAAAGAGCCCCTCTTTTGGGGTTTGGATAGAAGAGGCCATACACCTCATCCTTGGCAATTCAGTTGACCTAATCTTCTGCTGCAGCTTAGGTGGTACCCTTAAAGCCCCAAGCCCCCTCTGCAGGGAGAAGACAATGCTGGTGGGGTCGGGAGCCCCCTTTGGGGGAGCGCCGGGGGGGGGGGTTCCACTTCAATCTCAACCTGAGAGCCCTCCAGGTTCTATTCTGATCTTGAGAACTAGACCCTTGTTCCAATCTAAGTGCTCCCCTGTTAAAAACAGAGCGGAAGTCGGCTTCCGATTCTAAGCTCCACTTCGGGAAAGGGTGAATTACGGCAGGCCCCCCCGTGGGTAAACTGAGGCCTTTTCCACTCACCTTCAAGTCTCTATGTACAATGAACTTTTGGTGACAGTACTGCACAGCAGAAACTATCTGGAAGGGAAGGGGAAGAAAGGTGAAAAATGGCATTTCTGCAACAGTATTAAATCAATCCAAATATTTTTCAGACCCCGTTACACTATAGATGCTCTTCGGAGTTGCATCCCCATCGCTCGGAGTTGAAGGGGAATGATGCAACAAAGAAGTGTGTGTGTGTGTGATGTCTTTTCCAAGAAAGAGCTGCATAAATTAGGCCTCATCGTTGCATCATTCGCACGCAGCATCCAGAAAGGCAGGCCTGTGCAGCTTTGGGTGGGTGGAGGGTTGACTGTTCCTGGGAAGGGAGGGAGGGGGGGGGCAAAGTTCTTGCAGCGATGAACCAATGAGGTTTCCTCTTCCTCTGCTCCTTCCCGCCCACCGGTGTTCAGTTCCCAAGTTCCTTTCCTGGCTTAATTTCCAACTCGATCTTGTTCTACGATGTATGACTAATGTTAGGGAACTGACATTCACATGACACAGTGGCATCCGCCCGTTAAGGTGGCTTTATTAAGGAAAGGAGAACGAGGCACGGAGGACACAAGAGGGAGGGGAATTCTGGGAATCAGAATGGGTCTTTCCGAAAGATGGCTGAATGAGAAACTGTCAACGCTGCGGATGTTTTTGCATTGACAACAGATGGAAATGTAGCCATCATTTTCTCTTTTGCTTTTAGAGTTAGATGATGCTGGGAGGGGGGGATGTGGATGAGAGTCCAGCTAGACAGAACAACACTAAACTTAGCATGAGAATCAAGGTTATTGTAACCGGAGCTGATAAAGAATTGGCCGGGCTGGAGAACTGGAGAGGAAGCCCGCTCTTCAAGCTAATTGGGGGATGTGATTTATGACTGTTAATTGGAGGAGGGAATTGTGCTTTGCTATTTTGTACCCAGGGGAGGGGAATTCAGTTTTCGGCTTTAACCATATAGTGCCAATACTTTGTTTCTTGAATAAAAGATTCTTTAAGGTAAACAATGCCTCGAAGTTCTTTTAAAGAGTTTCAGCTGTCGGAACCAGGACACTAACTAACATCCTCTCCTGTAAACCAGGATTCCATAAGAAGGAAAATTAAAGGCAACGGGGAGGCCCGGCCGTAATGTGAATCCTGAGACACGAGGGTCAAGAGTTTGCATCCTAACACTTTCATTGTTGCGCTGCTTCGCAACGGTGAGAGTTTTGCTTCCTGGTTTGGGAGGGGAAGATAAAGGACTTTAAAAAAAAAAAGGTTTTGAAAAACTCATGTGGTCAACATCTGGATGAATGGAAGGACTGTGAAAAACCCCTTTGCGTGCCAAAAAGAAGGAAAACGTCACCCACAAGCCCAATTGACTGGGCAAATGTTGGACTAAAATTGTTGGTTTGGTGTGGTTGAGAAAGGGTTTCCGGCTGTCTCTTTCGCTCAACGTTCAGCAACACGCAACACACAACCGGGGAGGTCAGCAAAGCAGGAGAATTTTCCCCAGAATTCAGTTAGCTATCTTTGAACAGCACCTACCACTCAAAGCTTTTAAAATTTCAAAAGCTGTGCTGATCAACCTGAGGATCCTAAAAGGAGAGTTTTGGTCAAGAAGCCAAATTTGATCAGGAGCAAAATTGGGGCAGCTGTTTCTTTCCCACAGCACCGCGGACATCCAACTCCACTTTGCTCTTTGCCGGGCAGTTGATGGTGGTGGCAGAGATGCCCTTACTGGTTCTGCCTTTTCACGGGGTAATAGGAGGAGGGGCAGCACCAACCTGTCGGAATTTTGCCCGCGCTTCCTTCTCTTTCATTCTTCCATGAGCCACTAAGTAGTCAAACACTTCGCCTGGAGGAAGAGAGAGAGCGAGAGACAGAGAGAGAGCAATGAAGCTGCTTTTTCATTTGGAACAGAAATATGGCACATAAATCAGGAAAAGCGGTGAGGGAGGCAGGGAGCAAGGGTGACAAAAGCTAGCCATTTTTGCTGCTGGGACGCAAGCAAACCTAGACACCTGAGGACGTTTGGCCTGCAACAAGTATTTCTCAAGCTTGGCTAAGTTAAGATGCATGGACTTCAACTCCCAGAATTCCCCAGCCAAAAGTCCAGCCATATGGAATTCTGGGAGTTGAAATCCACCCATCTTGAAGCATGCTGGCTGGGGAATTCTGGGAGTGGAAGTCCACCCATCTTAAAGCATGCTTTAAGATTTTTTTTTTTCATCAGACTAGACCAGGGGTCTTCAAACTTGATCCTTTTATGACTTGTGGACTTTAACTCCCAGAATTCCTCAGCCAGGCACATGGAATTCTGGGAGCTGAAGTCCACAAGCCATAAAAGGGCCAAGTTTGAAGACCCCTGGTTTAGAATCTCGAGTTTCAAGGAGGGGGAGTTTCTGGTTAAGGAGTGCCTTGAAGATAAGAAGCTCTCATCATCATCATCATCATCATCATCATCCATCATCATCATCATCATCATGATGATGATGATAAGTTGGATTGTGCCTCTGGCTGCCAGGTTATTTATTTGTAGGCGGTCCTCGATTTACGACCATAATTATGGCCGCGAGTTCTTGCGGTCGTTAAGTGGGTCACCAGTGACCACGACCGATTTTATGACCTCTTTTTGCGGCCGTTGTTAAACAAATGCAGGGGTTGTTAAAGGAAGCCGGTTAAATTCATTAAGGCAGGGGTCCTCAAACCTTTTATGACTTGTGGACTTCAACTCCCAGAATTCCTCAACTAGCGTGCCTGGCTGAGGAATTCTGGGAGCTGAAGTCCACAAGTCATCAAAGGGCCAAGTTTGAAGACCCCTGGCTTAAAGCGTGACTTGCAAATCCCATCAGATTCCTGGAATTTGGAACGGAGGGAGGGCGAGGGGGGGGGAAACGACACCCACTCACCTCCGCTGGCATACTCCATGACGAGGTACAGCGTCTTATCGCAGAGATACTGAAGTTTATTAAATTGACCTTCTGTTTTCCACTCCACTCTAATCTGTTTGGGGACCGGTTTGTTTCTTTGGCCTACGTCGACCTAGTCCTTCCTTCTCCCTTTGTCCCGACCGACGTTCCCGCTTCTCCTTCGGGAATGTCCTTCAGGAGCAGAATGCTGGCGTTGCCTCGGGAGGGGGGTTTAAAGGATTGCTAAGCCAGACAGCCGTTAAGGGAATTCTGCCCCCTTTCGCGCAACCTTTCTTGCCACAGTTCGCTGCAGTGTGTCAAGTTGGCAACTTGGTGGTTAAGTGGATCTGGCTTCTCCCCCCCCCCCCCATCTCCCCCTCCTGGACTTTTGCTGGCCAGAAGGTCGCAAAAGGGGATCGGCGGATCCCGGGACGCTGCCACCGTGGTAAAGATGAAGCCGGTGGCCAAGCGTCCAAATTTTGATGGCGCGACCGCTGGGGGAGGCTGCGACGGTCGTTCAGGGTGAAAAACGCTAAGTGCCGTTGTAACTTCCAACGGTCACTAAATGAACTGTTGTTAAGTCGAGGACTGGCTGGGCTTGGTGGATGGCATTGCCACAGGAGGAGGAGGAGGAGGAGGGGCAGCCCCCAACTCGAAGCCACAAAGACGTGGGGGCTTTCTGCGGCCATGTTGCAGAATTTGATGGCTTCCAGGATCGGGAGCGGGATGGTGCCAAAGAGGAAAAGCACTTCCCAAATGTGCTGGGAAGGAACTTCCTCAAGCCCCAGCTGGCAAAGCCAGATGTTGAGAGCAAGGAAAGGCTGGGGCGATGATGCTTGACAGGCAAGGCCCATCTGCTGCTTCCCGTCAGGCAGAGCAGCAACATCTGGAAGGGAGGAAAGGGGGAAGACTCACCTATATTCGGGTGATTCAGAACCTTCATTATTCGTACTTCCCGGAAGAGCTGGAGGAAAAAAAGGGAAAAAGAAACAGGGACGATTACTTGGAAGCCTCCAATGGCTGTACTTCCCTGTCTGGAAGCAGCTTCCCCCCCCCTCCTACCACGGAGCCTTCTGGGTGTGCTGGAACTGCAATTCCCAGAATTCCCCTGTTGACACCAAAGCTCATGGGAAGGAGGGATTTTGCAGAATGCTGGCTGGGGAATTCTGGGAGTTGAAGTCCACCCCTCTTAAAACGTGCTGGCTGGGGATTATGGCAATTGAAATCCACCCATCTTAAAGTATGCTGCCTGGGGTGTGTGTGTGTGTGTTTCTGGGAATTGAAGTCCACCCATCTTAAATCGTGGCTGGCCGGGGAATTCTGGGAGTCGAAGTCCACAGATCTTTTAAGAGTCTGAGAAACACTGAACTAGACTGTTGTTCTCACTGGATTAAGCCTTTTAAAGAATAACATATTAATCTGCAAAAGGGCCCAAAGAGAAGCTCTGTGCCTGCAAAGAGGCAAGGTAAGAAGCAGGGTTCCAAGTTCTCAGGGGCTGCCCCAAAGAAGAGGGAGTCAAGCTATTCCCCAAGGTGCCTGAAGGCAGGACAAGAAGCAACGGATGGAAAGTAATCAAGGAGAGAAGCAACCTGGAACTAAGGAGAAACTTCCTGACAGTGAGAACAATTAACCAGTGGAACTGCTTGCCTCCAGAAGCGGTGAAGGCTCCAACACTGGAAGTTTTTAAGAAGAGACTGGTCTGAAATGGTGTAGGATTTCCTGCCTGAGCAGGGAGTTGGACTAGATGACCTCCAAGGTCCCTTCCTACTACTACTACTATTACTACTATTACTACTATTACTACTATTACTACTATTACTTCTCCTCCTCCTCCTCCTCCTCCTCCTCCTCCTCCTC